GGGGAAGCAGCCCGTCAGCACTCTAGCCGCCCTCGGGGGCAACAGAGCAGCTGGAGGCATTTCAGTCAGCCCTTGATATGTGCAGGCCTCTGCTATCTGTCCCTGGAGGCCCCCAGCACCCCGAGCCCAGCAACACTCACGAGGCAGTGGCACAGTCCATCCTATGCTGTCAGGGTCCTGCTATACCTGTGGGCGGACAACAGATCCCCACATCTGAGTTTCATCTACCTTCTTATCCCCCCAAGCAAACAGCTGCCCCTTGACCATCCCACTCAGGCCTAGGTAAGTCTTCTCATGGGAATAGGCCCACCCAGGCCTTAGAAGTGGGCTCAGGGCCCTTTGGTAGAGAATTCCAGGGTCCTGGGTGCTCAGAACATGGCAGATGGTGTGGCTCCACTGGGTATATCCCTTGAGCAGAGAGATCCCCTGCTCTTGGGCAAGGGTGCAGCCAGATGAAGGAACAGGGATTTCTAGAATGTGGGCTCAGGTTGCCTGGGTCTAAAGGTGGTACTGATGAGACACAGATCCAAAGCTGTATGAGTTCTGGTAACTATAATCTCCTTAAGCTGGCAGAGGAAAAAAAAAAAAAAGCGGGGCAGGGTAGGTAGCTTTGCCCTAATCAGTAGACCCTGATCAAATAGTAGTTTTCTGTAATGACATTATATCACCGCTTAGCGCCATATGGTTGACTCTCTCTCACAGACCCTAGACCCTGTTGGTTCAAGCCAGATGGCCACAGCCAGGGAGGAACAAATTCCTCTAGAATGCTTTAACTGCACGGCCACATTCAACTCAAGCACTCCCCTCACTGTTGGTAGATTTGGTAAAGGTCTGAAAGGGTTTTTTAGTCCTTCTCTGTGTTATGTCTTCTCCCCTGTTATTCCCATCATTTAAAGAGACGATATCTCCACATGCATCTCATTAGGTGATATCTCCACATGCATCTCATTAGGTGTTGTTTATCAGTTAGGAACACTTTCTGTAAAACTTCCTGTGTGAATAACCATAGCCAAAGATCCTATCTAGGAAACTCTCTAAGCCTTAGGACTTCTGTCTCTTAGCTGCTGGTCTTTATGCTCCCTCCACAGCTGTACCCCCCCACCCCCTATGCCCACCCCAACCAATCCTTTGTATTCTGGCTTGTTCCCTCATGGTTTTAACATGGCTGCCTGAGCACCAGCCATCAAATCTGCATTCAAGGCAGGAAGCAGGGGAGGGGTGGAATATCAGAGAACCAGTGACTTTCGGTTTGTTTCTCTTTTTGCAGTACGCAGGCCTCTCACTGTTGTGACCTCTCCCGTTGCAGAGCACAGACTCTGGACGCGCAGGCCCGGCGGCCATGGCTCACGGGCACAGCCGCTCCGCGGCATGTGGGATCTTCCCGGACCGGGGCACGAACCCGTGTCCCCTGCATCAGCAGGCGGACTCTCAACCACTGCGCCACCAGGGAAGCCCTTGTTTTGTTTTAATCAGAAAAGCAAATGCTTTCCTAGGAATACACTAGCTGACTTCAGCCAAATGTGTCACTGAGCAACTCTTAGCCGCAAAGGAAAACTTCGCAATGACCTCTAGAATGGAAAAGGGAAGGGCAAAGAGGGTTGGTCGTGGGTTACATGTTGGTCCAAAGTATCTGCCACAAAGTGGAAAAACCCTAAGGGATGTGACGGACTGAGACCCACAGAGCTGAACATCTCAGTTTGGAGCTTCTCAGAAAAAGACAAGAACCACAGGGGGCACCTGTGGTCCTGTCTTAGGGTCACCAAGTCTTTTTGATAGAAAGAGGAAGGTGGGGAGGGAGGGGTTCATTAAGTCTTTGGCCTAAAAATAGGATAAAGAGGAGGGGGGGCAGGCAACAGTTTTTACCTCTTTCAGGAATAAAACCAGAAAACACAAGGTTGAACCAATTTCTGATTACCAGCTTCAGAAGGCAGTAGGAAACAAACCTTTATAACTTCCTCACATCTGTGGGGTTCACTGTGTTTCTACAGTTATGGGAGGATCCCGTGCCCTCTGCAGAAGCTGGGACATCCTAGTACCCTCCACACCCAGGCTTTAGGGCTTGAGCTGGTAGTGGCAACTTTTTAGAGGGGCGTGGGGGGAGAGGACAGCAGACAGAGGCCCTGAGGGCTGCTGCAAGGAAGAGAAGGGCTCCTGCTGGCTGCGAAGGGTGCCAGCCTGGGCCTAAGAAGTAGCTTGAGGGCTTCTTTTAAAAGTCGCTCAGTTGTAAGAGATTCTGCAAGAGCCCAGTGACTGGAGAGCTGAGGTCGCTGTGAAACTGATAGCAGGACTGGCTGGTGCAGAACGAGCCTCCAGAACAGGATGCGTCCCAGGGCCTGGACAGAGGGGTCAGCTGCAGGACAGGTCAAATGGCCACAGCAGAGCAGGTTAACATGCCCCAGAGGCAGAGAAACCCTGGCTGTGATCAGGGGATGACCGTTTGGCGCTCGGTCTTTTAAAACTAGAAACTCCGGCTGTAAGCTCGTGTCACGCAGGTCACCACCACCCTACCTTTCCCTTCTCTGAGGGGGCCAGGTCAGGAACATCCGCTGCTCATCTGCATCGCTGTATGCAAACAAAAATTCCTCATTCTGGAGTCACCTGACATGGCCCTTCCCTGATGCAAGGTGTTCCTTTGCTTCAGTGATAATACACACTCACAGCATGCTAGTTTACAGAGCGCTTTCTAAGACACCCCCTCCCTCTGTGTTTCTCTCTGCAAGTTCTGAGATGGAGCCAGGCATTCCACCTAACATCTCTCTGGAATTGTCTTCCTTCTGTGTCCACTATACACCAGCATGGTCTCAAGGTGCTGCTCTGGGTTAATTCCAGGAAGCTGGTGAGTGGTAACAGAGCTCCGAAGGCTGACCTCTAAGGAACACATTCCCTTTGACCTATAGCCCACATGTAATATACAAAGTCAACTATTCCCTCAATATAAGTAAAATAAAATGTTCACATAGAGAATGCTCTACTTTAGGAATACTGCAGTCAGCATTGTGAATGCATGAAATGCCACTGAATTGTTTAAGACAGTTAAATTTATGTATATGAATGTCACCTCATTAAAAAAAATACTGTTATTACTACACTTCTTGACTTTATGAACTAACTGCTTTGACCATTTTCTTCTTCAGCTCGCTTTCTTTTCACATCCGTGCAGGTCAGAAAATATAGAAACAACTAGTTATTTCTTCTCAGATAAGGAAACTGAGGTCCAGAGAAGGTCTGACCTGCCAACTAGAGGATAACTGAGCAACAGAGATCTCCAGTGTGTGGGCTCCTGGGCCAGTGCTCATTCTACAAAGGTTCCAGGGCAAACAGCCCAAAGGCTCCGCTCCTTCATGACCTCCAAAGTCAGCAAAGGAAGCAAGGCCTCTTCATCCGTAGAAGCTAAGTCATCTCTTACTCTCTGAATGTGAGGGAGGAGTTCATCTCTGGCAAGCAATAGGGCAGGAGGGTGGGTGTGGATCAGCTTTGCTAAGCCGTTTTCCACAAGTTCACTTTGAATTTTTTAAGCGTAAGTCCAGTGTTTCATAACATATTCGCAAAGTTGGGCAACCACCACCCCTACCTAATTTCAGAGCAGTCATCATCCCCAAAAGAAACCCTGCACCTCTCAGCGGTCACTCCCCAGTCCTCCCCGCGAGCCCTCAGCCACACTCATCTACTGTTAGTCGCTATAGCTGTTTCTGTTCTGGACACTTCAGATACGTGCAGTCATTCGGCCGGTGGCCTGCTGTGTGTGGCTTCCTTCATTTAGCGTGTTTTCAATGCTCATCCACGTTGTCGTGTGCATCACCACTTCACTCCCATTTCTAAATCCCCAGGGCTCCAGTTGCTTCTTTCCTGCCAGCTGTGGGGATGTGGGGCTGGAGGGACCACAGTCAGGGCAACAGAAAAAAAGCCCTCATCCTGGTAGAGCCCAGAGAGAGGAAACAGACCCCTCAGCAGCATCACCAACATTCCCCTTCTTCTAGTAAAACATACGACAAGGAACGTCAGATCCACCAGCAAACAGTTAACTACACAGGCCTGTGCAGAGCACATAGCCCCTGAATACACTCCAGAGGACCACGCAGCCAAACGTGCCACTTAAACAGAGGCAAGGCCCGGTGTCATCCAGGAAGAGTGATGCTCTTGACTCCTTCATTCCACAAGCTTTCAGGTCCCTGCTCTTAACTTGTAGACTCATAGCACAACCTATGAGTTCCTCATCACCTCAGCTGTCTTCTGCTCGGATCAAAGCCTTCTAGCTGCTAAAGCATTTCCTGGGGGAGATCGTCCGTGTTTAATCCAGGACAAATATTACTTGCAAACCCCTGACTTCCACGTGCATCTCTGCATCAAGCTGATGATCTGACTTCCTGGTGGCCTGAGCCAGCAGCTTACTAAAAGTCTCTCCAATGGGGCATAACCTCAATATTCTTACAGCTATTCTTCCCATCGTTCTCTTCTCCTTTCTAGTACAAGGTGGACGAGGAATTATCATTGCCTGCTTGCAGAGGAAGAAATGGAGGCCCAGTAAGGACAAGAGACCAGTACCCATTAGCAAAAGGTGACAGAACTGAGATAAGGGGTCCTAGCTCCCACCCCATTGCTCTGGATGTACCATGTGGATACACGAGAGGGTTAGTGAACCAAACACTCCTTCCAGGTAGGAAGTGAGAGAAAAGTGAGAGTTAGTTCTCAATCGTCAGATTTGAGACTTCCTGCCACCAGCCCCCCTCTTCTTCCCCTAGAATCAGGTGCACGAACCCAGAACACGACTTGCATTAATAGCAAAACATCGGCGTCCCTCCCCACCCCCAAATTCTCCAGCACGGCCCGAAGTCAACCATAAACAAAAGAAATAGGGCCAATGGGCGTATATCCACTTTACTTGTGAGTCCAGAAGGAAAGCAGGCTTTCTGCAGGTCAGCCTGCCGAGGAGAAGGCTGGAGCAGAAGCAACCACCCTGCCCCACATCCCCTGCAAGCCGCCCACCCAGCCTCACTCCTTACCCTCCCTTCAAACTTGGCGGTGGCCCCTTCCTTGATGCAGAGGTTCCGAGGGGGCAAAATGAAAGCAGGGGCCTCGGTCAGGGGCATGGAGCTGACTCTCGAGGGATCCACAGTGAGGGAGGTTTTGGAAACGTGTGTCGAGGCAGCCAGCTTCACATCCCCCATGGCCTGCAAACAGGAAGGAAGATCAGGTCAGACGAGACAAAGTACAGCCCGTCCTCCCTGCAGGCGGCCGACGTGCCCAGGGTGCTGGTTGGGGCCGCAGCGTCGTGGGCTTTACAGGGAGCCCCACTAGGTCAGGGGCCGCCTGGAGCTCCTCTCTGGGAATGAGAGTCCCTGTGTCCCCTACACGCAAAGCTGCAGGGTTTGAAGCCCAGTCTGCCCCAGACGCCAGCTCCCAGGGCCACGTCCTGGTCTCCCCAAAAGCCCGTGGAGAACTTCCAGGAAGGGGGCAGCTAGATCAGGAACAGAGAAATCAGATGTTTCTCTGCGATTTTACAATGGATATCTGAAATCATACTTAAGTCACTCAACCTTCAGAATCTGTATCTGCATTAGGCACTCAAGGTGAAAGTAAAAGCTGCTTTTGCCTAACTGTGAGGGCTCTTGGGCTGAAGAAAAATGGGATCCACAGTCCAAGAAAGAAAAGAGTTTAGGGTTAATACGGCAAGGATCCTGGGTGAGGTGAGGTGAGTGCGGGGTTGAAAGCAGGGAAGGAAGCAAGGCCAGGGAGGACCCTAGCCACTTCTGGGGACCGGAGTGTGAAAAAGCCTCAAAAGTCATAGAACGTCAGAGAAGGGAGCATTTTAAGGTTATCCAGGCTAACTCCTCCATTTATAACTGAGGCCCAGAGAAGGTCAGTCACTCACTCAAAGAGACAAAGCAAAATGATGGCATCACTGGCAAGTAAACCTCAGGCTCCTGACTCCTGGTCCACGGCCCCACTGGGACTAGTCAAGATGTCTATGGGGGCTGGCAGGTTGATTGGAACAAAGGGATTTCCTTAGGATTAATTCTAGAAGTGGAATTAGTAACAGGTATGAATCAGTTCCTGGTTGCAAAGTACAGAAATGGACTCTGGCTCTCATAAATGGAGAAGGGATCTGTTGGAAAGACGGGGAGTAGGGAAGCTCTCAAAGTCCACAGGAAAGGCTGGAGAACCAGGCTGGGAAAACAGGCAGCAGTCGAGAGAAGCCAGGTTGTCAGAGCCTAGCCAAGGTCACTGGACACCCGTTGCCACCCCCTGGAATATGTCCCAGGTATCCCTGCTCCAGATTTCAAGTCCAGGTAGGAGCCTCACCAGGCTGGGATGGTTCCAGGTTGGGGACCACATCTTACTCAGCATGGAATCCACGGTACCTGGCCTATCACAGCCCTGCAACAAACGTCTGCTAAACTGAAGAGGAAGAGTATTTCCAGTTTTTATTTTTCTGTTCATTTTCTTGGGATCGTCAGTCACAAGCCTACGTCCCATGCCAAGTGGGGTGAGCTGACAGAAATGAACAGTGATAATCTGGGCATGTAATTAGTTTGTTTAAAGTTAATAACGTCTAACAAAACTAAAATGGAGGTTACAAGTTAAAGTAACAAAGACCTAGGTTTGTTTGTAACAGGGCACATCCCCTGCTTGACAAAGCCAGCTTTCTCTTTCACTGATGAGGTATTAGCTTTGCAAACAAAATCCTTTCCAAATGATAAGACTCACAGGTTCACTGTAGTAAGTAACAATAAAAACCAAATTTATGTAGCACTTACTATATACCAGGAACTATTCTAAACACTTTATAAATAATAGCTCAATTGCTCCTTACATCAACACTGTGAGACAGATGATCTCATCAATCCCATTTTATGGATTAGAAACCGAGGCTCACTGAGGTTAAGTCATTTGCCCAGGGTCAGAGTATTTAGTAGGGGGCAGAACTGGCATTTGATCCCAGGTGTCTGGCACCAAAACTCCTATGCTTAACCACTGGACCTTCTTTTTTTTTTTAAATTAATTAATTTATTTATTTTTGGCTGCGCTGGGTCTTTGTTGCTGCATGCGGGCTTTCTCTAGTTGCAGCGAGAGGGGCCTACTCTTTGTTGCAGTGCGCGGGCTTCTCACTGCAGCTCTTGTTGCAGAGCACGGGCTCTAGGCACACGGGCTTCAGTAGTTGTGGCATGTGGGCTCAGTAGTTGTGGCACATGGACTTAGTTGCTCCTCGGCATGTGGGATCTTCCCGGACCAGGGCTCGAACCCGTGTCCCCTGCATTGGCAGGCGGATTCTTAATCACTACACCACCAGGGAAGTCCCCCACTGGACCCTCTTGCTTCCTACTAGCAGTCAGAGCTGGCTGGTGGGAAGGCAGTCTGAGGTTGGGGTCATAAGCAAGAAAGGTGACAGCTGCTACCACACACACATAACACTGAGATCTTCCGTATGACACAGCATACCAACAACAACATTAAAAGGCATTTGATGATCTGGGATAAAATGTCTGCAACAAGAATGAAGGACTAGGATATTTTATATATAAGAAAACAGCCTGACAGATAATGGGTAGAGCTATCACTTGGACGGTTCACAGAAGATAGACAAATGACCACAACACAAATGGAAGCTGCCTAGCCTCAATCAGAATCCAAGAGTGCAAATTAAGGACAAGTTATTATTTAAAAACACTAACCAAACTGACATTTAAAATGAAAGATAACATACAATACCGGTGAGACTCTGGGTACTCATACCCTTCTGAGGAGTATAAACTGAAGCAATCTTTCTGGAAAGCAATTTGTCAAAAAGATTCTGAAAAAAATGTCCATCTCTTTACCCGGTAATCCTACATTTAGAAATGTATTATTGGGAAAGAATCAGAGATACAGCCCCAAATTTATATATGAGAATGCGAATCACATTACTTATAGGAAAATAAACAGAAAAATAATCCAGTTAAATAGAAACAGAAAAAAAAAAAACAGTTAAATATCCAACAGTGAGAATTGGTTAAATACAGTAGAATATCAGGCAGTTACATGAGTGTATATTTACAAGGAAAATAATAATAGGAATTTAATGATATAGAAATTTTAAACTAAAAATAAGTTTCATTATGGAAAATTTCAAACAAAAAAGTAGAAAGAATGATAAAATGAGCACCTCAAATACCTATCACCTAGATTCAACAGTTAACATTTTGCCATATTTATATCATTGTTTGTGTATGTGCTTGCAGAACCATTTCAAGGTAATCAGGATATAATTTTAATGGCAAGAATCAGGATATAGTCATTCACTCAATTAAAATATATTTACTGGGGCTTCCCTGGTGGCGCAGTGGTTGAGAGTCCGCCTGCCGATGCAGGGGACACGGGTTTGTGCCCCGGTCCGGGAAGATCCCACATGCCGCAGAGCGGCTGTGCCCGTGAGCCATGGCCGCTGAGCCTGCGTGTCCAGAGCCTGTGCTCCGCAACGGGAGAGGCCACAACAGTGAGAGGCCCGCGTACCGCAAAAAATAATAATAATAAATTAAATTAATTTATTGAACATCCACCATGTTGCAAGCTAGGGGCTAGGGATACAGCAGTGAACAATTAATTACATGTGTGTGTGTGGTGAGTGTGATAACACGGGGTTCTTATATCCTGCAGAGCCTCCCAGGACCATACCCCAGAGGGGACACTGTCCCCTCTGCCCTCCTCCACTGCCACTGAAGTGAGCTGACAAATACACTCTGTGCTGCCAGCACCAGGGGTGGGGTGGAGTGAGGGCAGGTATCACAAGGGTCGTCGCCAGCCGCAAGTCCAGGGCACTGCTACTTTCCAGCTATTAGCTGGGCAAGGTACTTCAACTCTCCCGGCCTCAGTTTCCTTTTCTATAAAATGAGAATGATAATATCAGTCTCACAAAGTTGAGGGGAGGATGTGAATGACAGTATATATAAAACACTTAGTACAGCATAAAAGGCACTCAATAATTGGTAGCTGTCAACATGGTCATCATCCAGCTCCCAAAGGGAAAGCAAGTTCCCCAACCCTGCAGGACAGACCCTTTTCACCAAGGAGGGCAAGCCCAGGCCAGCCTGATTATCCTCAGGGCAAGGGTATCTGAGTGGGATTATTGTATAACAGCAGTGGGAAGCATATGGCAGACCACGAGAAGGTGGGTAGGAGGGCCTGGGGCCCCTTGACAGCCTCCGCAGCCCTCTCCTGTGTGTCCTAGCATGGAACGGGCAAGGTGCATGCACCCGACATCGTGTTCAGCCCTAATCTCACTCAATCTCCTGGTCCTGCAAGGCAGTTCTGATTATGTTCCTTTCACAAACGAGGACACCAGGGCTCAGAAAACCAACTACATTTGTCCAAGGTCACATAGCTAAGAAGTGGAAACCAAACTGAATTCTGATCGTAGCCATATCCTGTGGGCTTCCTGGAGGGCCCCCGGACCCAGACTAGGCATTTCCTGCCTTCCCCAGTAATGGGAGATGCGATAGGCAGAGGCTTGGGAGTTGCATAAAGAAAGGGAGGCGGGGGAATGTAACACCCGCTTCTGCTCTCACTTCTGGCTTTCAAAGACACAAGACTCTTCCACTCTGCTTTCGGGGGAGCTGGAAACTAAGAGTGGTGACATCGGGCTCAGAATCCTCTCTATAAATCCTCTTGATCTTGACCTTCTGAGGTCTCCTGAAGGCCCTGGATGCTATCATCAAAAGGAACATGCTCGGCCCCATAAACACAGAAGACAGAAGTCTTCCATCCCTGGGCGGGAGGGAAGGTCTGGCTTCAGGTCAGAAACAGAACAGGCAAGTCAATACAGCAAGTGCCCTGTGAGGTGTGGGGGAGGGTGGGGAGGGCAATTATTAACCACCACACAGGCAGAATCAGAGCCCAATCCCAGGCTGGCCAGGCACACCAAACAGCTCTGCTCGGCCCATCACCCGGCCCACTGCCATCAGCCGCATAAACATATTCCGTCCACACTGCCAATTAATGGTTACTAGCATATTTGGAATGCTCTACCAATAATTATTATTATAATAATTATAAATCAAACCAAACCATCCTTGTTCCCTTCTAACCCCTCATCCAGCCTAATGACCACATTCCAGTTGAGAGTACCAGAGGGCCTGCGTGGCTTCTGCAATAATTTCTCTATCGGCAGAGCAGTGCTCGGTGGCTGGAGTCACATACACCTACCCAGGGGGTTTTGTTCAGCACCAGTTAAATGCAGATCAATAGGAGACAGAAGGTAAATGGGAGTGTTTTCTTAATTTCACTTTCAGATTTTTCATCATTAGTGTAAAGGAATGCCAGAGATTTCTGTGCATTAATTTTGTAACCTGCTTTACCATTGCAACAAAAAGAATGAAATATCTAGGAATAAACCTACCTAAGGAGACAAAAGACCTGTATGCAGAAAATTATAAGACACTGATGAAAGAAATTAAAGATGATACAAATAGATGGAGAGATATACCATGTGCTTGGATTGGAAGAATCAACATTGTGAAAATGACTCTACTGCCCAAAGCAATCTACAGATTCAATGCGATCCCTATCAAACTACCACTGGCATTCTTCACGGAACTAGAACAAAAAATTTCACAATTTGTATGGAAACACAAAAGACCCCGAATAGCCAAAGCAATCTTGAGAACGAAAACGGAGCCTGGAGGAATCAGGCTGCCTGACTTCAGACTATACTACAAAGCTACAGTAATCAAGACAGTATGGTACTGGCACAAAAACAGAAAGATAGATCAATGGAATAGGATAGAAAGCCCAGAGATAAACCCATGCACATATGGTCACCTTATCTTTGATAAAGGTGGCAGGAATATACAGTGGAGAAAGGACAGCCTCTTCAATAAGTGGTGCTGGGAAAACTGGACAGGTACATGTAAAAGTATGAGATTAGATCACTCCCTAACACCATACACAAAAATAAGCTCAAAATGGATTAAAGACCTAAATGTAAGGCCAGAAACTATCAAACTCTTAGAGGAAAACATAGGCAGAACACTCTATGACATAAATCACAGCAAGATCCTTCTTGACCCATCTCCTAGAGTAATGGAGATAAAAACAAAAATAAACAAATGGGACCTAATGAAACTTCAAAGCTTTTGCACAGCAAAGGAAACCATAAACAAGACCAAAAGACAGCCCTCAGAATGGGAGAAAATATTTGCAAATGAATCAACTGACAAAGGATTAATCTCTAAAATTTACAGGCAGCTCATGCAGCTCAATAACAAAAAAATAAACAACCCAATCCAAAAATGGGCAGAAGACCTAAATAGACATTTCTCCAAAGAAGATATACAGACTGCCAACAAACACATGAAAGAATGCTCAACATCATTAATCATTAGAGAAATGCAAATCAAAACTACAATGAGATATCATCTCACACCAGTCAGAATGGTTATCATCAAAAAATCTAGAAACAATAAATGCTGGAAAGGGTGTGGAGAATAGGGAACACTCTTGCACTGCTGGTGGGAATGTGAATTGGTACAGCCACTATGGAGAACAGTATGGAGGTTCCTTAAAAAACTACAAATAGAACTACCATATGACCCAGCAATCCCACTACTGGGCATATACCCTGAGAAAACCATAATTCAAAAAGAGTCATGTACCAAAATGTTCATTGCAGCTCTATTTACAATAGCCAGGACATGGAAGCAACCTAAGTGTCCATCATCGGATGAATGGATAAAGAAGATGTGGCACATATATACAATGGAATATTACTCAGCCATAAAAAGAAACGAAATTGAGTTATTTGTAGTGAGTTGGATGGACCTAGAGTCTGTCATACAGAGTGAAGTAAGTCAGAAAGAGAAAGACAAATACCGTATGCTAACACATATATATGGAATCTAAGAAAAAAAAATGTCATGAAGAACCTAGGGGTAAGACAGGAATAAAGACACAGACCTACTAGAGAATGGACTTGAGGATATGGGGAGGGGGAAGGGTAAGGTGTGACAAAGAGAGAGAGAGGCATGGACATAGATACACTACCAAACGTAAAATAGACAGCTAGTGGGAAGCAGCTGCAAAGCACAGGGAGATCAGCTTGGTGCTTTGTGACCACCTAGAGGGGTGGGATAGGGAGGGTGGGATAGGGAGGGTGGGAGGGAGGGAGGCACAAGAGGGAAGAGATATGGGAACATATGTATAACTGATTCACTTTGTTATAAAGCAGAAACTAACACACCATTGTAAAGCAATTATACGCCAATATTGATGTAAAAAGAAAAAAAAAAAGAAGAGACAGAAGTAAGAAGAGAAAAAAAGAAGGGGGAGGGGATCAGAAGAGCAGTGGTCTGAGGGCTGACCGCCATATACACACAACGCTTGGGCCAAAGCTCACCTCCAAATAAGGTTTTCACAAGTAGCAGAATTTATTAATCCTTCAAAGCAGCACTAAATTAATTTGACTTTAATTCGATCAAAAGCACTTTCAATTGTCTCTTGAACCCAGAAAGGAACACTTTCAACTATGGCCAAGAGAGAGGGCAAAAAGACAGGCAAAAAGACTCAGAGAAAAGTTTAAAATCAAGAATCAAGTTACACAGCAGAACAGGTTTAGAGCAACCAGCTGCCCGCTTCCCTACCCAAAGTGCATACATTTTAAATGATCGTAGTCCTTAAGCACCTGATGCGGTAGCAAGGCATCCTGGAGATACCATACCTTCCCTACAGGGAAGGGCTCCCAGTGGGCTCTGCACTGGAAGCCTGGCCGTCAGCCATGAACCCCCGGAGCCACAGGCACACAGCAAACACAGCGAACCACCGAGGTGCAAATGCCCCAGGCAACGACAGCTTCCTCTCCCCACCTTAATCCTCTCTCTTCAGAGCATTCAAATCCTGACAAATTCCCTAATCTCTCCTAATCCTGGAAGGAGCTGCTCCTTGGCTGTGGGCTGTGCCTGCTGACTTGCTGTGACCCACCGGAGCAGGCAGCGCGGCAGGGTCACACACCAGAGAACGGACACGCCTTACCGTGACCTCTTCCCCGGGCAGCTCTCCCATGAGTCGGGACGCATGGACGGCCACGCTCTACCACCGCACTGCAGAGACGCCTGTCCAAGGTCTGTCCCAGAAGAAAGACAGTGAAGGAGAGCCAGAGATGTAGCAGAGCCCAGGGCCAGACTGAAAAGTTAAGGGGCGTTCGTCTGACTGCTCACAGATGTTGCAACTTGCCTTGCGCAGAGCAGCCAACTTCACCCGGTCAGAGGGATGTGTGGTTCCAATCCGCCCAGCTGGGGTGACCTTTGAAACCCCTGGCTGCCAGCCGCAGAGGCTCTGAGTGGAGTCCCGGGGAAACCAGGGATGGAAGCTCACAGGTTTTTACTTGTTCAGAGCTGCAGGTTCCAATCTGAGTGTGGAGCAAAGGGAGGACACTGTCAAGCTGAGAGCTGAGTCCTTGGAGGGGCTGGGCACACCCCCAACTCCACATCTGGCCTGGAACACTACCCATCCCTAGGCACATGTGGCCTGGGATTACCACCCAGGGCTTGTGGGACCCTTGCCTCCTGAGACCCAGCTCCCTCCTCCTTGAGCTAAAGAAGCCCTGTTTATGATCCCCTGAGTGGGAGCAAGCTCAGAGAGCAGATGGATGGGGGACTCCTGTGCTCCTGTCTTAAGGAATCTGGGCTGAGATTTGAGTCACGCTCCACAGACTGTGTTCACAGTGTTGAGAAGAGGACCTAGCAGCGTGGGTCCTGACCCCTGGAGAGCTTCAGGAGTGGTCCCTGGCGCATACTTCTAAAACATGGTAGCAAGGTGATGCCCAATCCAGTCCTCTTCCAGGGGACAGAAGGTATTTATTTCCATAGTTCCAAAGGAATCTCTCATCCTATGCAACTCACACCTTGGGACAGACTGCAGATGTCCAAATCAGAAATGATGTGGATTTAAGCTTTTCTACTGGCTCATGTCTGATTCTTGAGTAACTGGCCTTCTCCTAACACCTAGCTGACCCCTTAGCCACTAGCTCAGCAGTTCTCAAACTTTTTGGTCCCAGGGTCCCTTCATACTCCTAAAATTATTGAAGATCCCAAAGAGCTTTTGTGTGTGAATTGCTGCTATCAATATTTTACTGTATTAAATTAAATTTTTACTGTATTAAAACTAAGAAATAGTAGTTCATTTAAAACATTAATAATAAGCCCATTAGGTTAACATAAGTAACACTTTTAAAAGAAAAATACATTTTCTGAAACAAAACCAAAAAAAAAGTTTAGTAAGAAGAGTTGTTTGTTTTTACAAATTTCTTTAATGCCTGGCTTAATAGAAGACAGCTAGATTTTCATATGTGCTTCTGCATCCAGTTGGTTGTGGCATCACAGTGTTCGTACCTGCTGGAAAACTCCGTTTGAGAGAAAAGGAGAGCGAAAAAAGCAATGACATCTTATAATAAAAAGCAAATGACGGGCTTCCCTGGTGGCGCAGTGGTTGGGAGTCCGCCTGCCAATGCAGGGGATGCGGGGTCGTGCCCCGGTCCAGAAAGATCCCCATGCCGCAGAGCGGCTGGGCCCGCGGGCACTAGGCCCTCGCCCC